TCAGCAGCTTCTTGTGTTCCAGCACCTGCTACTTGGGGAAGCAGATGCCCAGAGCGTGGGTGTCTCCTGCCCAGGGCCTGTGCCCCTTCCATCGCCCAACTGCAGGAGCACACAGCCCCCATCGATGCTGAGCTGGGGCCCAGGCTTTTCTCACCAACTTGCATGCCCTTGGGGCTCCATCGGGCCCCTTCTTGGACCACACCCTGCCCCCCAGAATGTGGCCTCAGTCTCACTTCATTGTTGGTGCTGGACTTGATTGTTAATCACCAGACCACCAGTTCCCGCCCTTCCCCTCCTTGGGAGTCACCCTCAGGTCCTCCCCCACCCCAGCCCATCCATCACAAGCCTGGGGACACTGGAGCAGTGTCCTCTCTGTCTTTGCTTCCTCAGCCTGGCCCAGGCGGCTGCCCCCGAACACCTGGAAGGTCGCTGGCCCCCTGATCCACCTCCCTGCTCCCGTCCTCAGCCTCCAGCAGCTTTTCATTATCCCTGCAACAAACGCCAGGTCCAGGGAGGACCCGGGTGCCGCCTGGCCTGGGTCCTGCCCCTCTGTCCAGCCACAGCGCCGTCTGCACCTCCTCGAGGGGACTCCGGAGCTGCTTGCCGCCCCACTTGGCAGCTTTGCCCGCACCTTCTTTTGCCTAGGGCACACTTCCTCCTTTCTGGTCCGCTGGGTGGGTCCCCACGGGCCTCGCATTCCCACTCTCACTGTTGTCCCGGGTCTGCCCCGTCCTGAGCGAGGCCTCCTGCCTGCTGTGCTCATTTGGAACTGATGAATCGATCCATCGCTGATCAGTTAGCTCTCCCTTCTCTGCCAGAGCTTGAGCTCCGCAAGCCAAGGCTCAGCCTCGTTGGTGCACGGTGCTGTCCCTGGTGAATCCATCAGAGCAGGCGTGATTATGTGGGTATGTGGCACAGAACAGACGCCCAGGGGATGTTTGGGGGGTGGCTGGGCGTGTCTGTGCACCTGCTCACTGCGTGAGAATCAAAGTCAACTTTGCAGGCCAGTGTGGGCAGCCTGGGTCTCTCTACAGCTCCTTTTCCACCTCCCCCTGCACACGCATGTGTGCATGCCTGCCTGCGTGTGTGTGTCTGTGTGCGCACGTGCATGCGCACGCTTGTGGTCTGGCAGCCTGGGGTCCCCTTCACAGTGATGCCCTTTCTGGCCGTCCCAGGGTTAGGACTTCCCCTTCGGCCACATCCTGTTGCTCGAAAGACTCGATGGTGCCTTCCAGCAGGCTGCAGTGTGGGTCACTCAGGCCCGCCTGACTCGGAACCAGCTCCGGGTTTTGGATGGCAGGACCTTCCGAGAGGCCCCTCAGCCCAAGCCCAGGCTGCTCCGGTCTGATTCAGGGCCCCTCTGAACCAGCCGGGTTTTCAGTGTGAATTATGCTGCGCTGGGAAGAGGCAGTCCCTGATGATATACAGATAGCAAACTCAGCCTGGGTCTCTCAGGCGATTCTTTTAAAAAAGATTTATTGAAATAATTTGCATTTCATAAAGCGTACCACCCATTAAAGTATAAAAGTCAGTGGTTGTATTTACAGACCTGTGAAATGATGCCTGCAATCTTTAGAATGCTTCAGACATGCCTTGTACCTTCCCCAAAGAAATCTCATACCATCAGCAGGCACCCCCGGATCGCCCTTCACACCCTCAAATCTGCGGGTGCCCATCAGTGTGCCTTCTGCTTCTGCAGGGTTTGCAGCACTGAGGTCGTGCAGCCAGCGGCCTTTGCCTGACTTCCTTTCCTGGTGTGGGCGGAGGGGCCTCTCTGCAGATCCTGTGCTCTGTGGCCACTGTTAACGCTTGGTCTGCAACTGGATTCTGTTCCGAGGTGTGGCTGGACCGAGTGCCCTTTACCCATCGATGCATCTGTGGACTGTCTGAGGGTTGGGCTGTCTGAGGTCATCACTTTGGGGTCACCGTGCAGCCTCGTTGGCCCCTGCAGGGTTCCAGCGTGGGCTTCTTCATCCAATCAGTCCTCACCGAGGACTTTCACAAACCCTGGGGGGCATCTGGGCTGGGGACTCCTCTTCCACACACATGGCTGCTTGCGGGGGCCCTGGCCAGTCAAGGGAAGAGGACCCTCTTTGAGGGCCAGAGCTGCCCCCTCAGGCAGTTTACCTGAAGGCCTTTCATTATTTTCCGTCGGCCAGTAGGGGCACTAAAACTTTTAAAAGTGTTTAATTTTTGTGATGGACCATCTCAAAGCCGAGAATGATATAAAGGAAAATTCCCTCCCTACCCAGCTTTCACAAATAACATTTTGCATGAATATTATTTTTCAAGGAAAGTATTATCTATTTTGCATATAAAGCTTTATATATCAGATATATTTTGTGTCTATTGTTACATGCATTATATAATGTGTAATGCGTAGTATATATAATTTTTTTGCATTTTTAGTTGTATGTTTACAATTATATATTATTTAGGGTATTAACTAAATATAATTCCAGAATGACAGGCTTTGTTTGGCAGAGTCGGAGCATGCATTTAACATATTCTGATGATTTTCAGCTGGATTATCCACCCTTCCTCGCTTTCCCTTTCTAGGGATTATCGTCCCCCTTCTCCAAAAATCTCCTTTCTCAATGATCTGCCCTTTATTAATGAATTAGTTCATTTATTGACTAGGTATTCTTTTAGGTTTCTCAAATGACCTCTCAGTCTCACTGATTTTACCCGGTCATCCTGGGTCCCTTTCCTCTCCCTGCAGATGACACGATTCAGTTCTTTTTTGTGTCTGGGTGATACTCCACTGCGTGTGTCAGGTACATCTTCTTTGTTACCCATCAGTTCCCCCAGCTTTGCTGTTGCGAATTTCCCTGCTCTTAACATGGACTGCAGGAGCGGCAGTTTCTAATTCCGTCAGGAATGTGCCCAGGAGTGGCACAGCTGGACCCAATAGCATGTCTGTGTTTGTGTTTTGAGGACTGTCCACGTGGACTTGCACAGTGGACGTTTTAGTGATCATTCCCACCGAGAATGTAGGGTTTTTTTTTCTCCGGTCCCCTTTTTAGCAGTTACAGTTTGCCGTATTCTTTACGGTCCCTGTTCTAACTGGACAGGGCAGAACCGCATCACCTGCATTTCTCTGACGGGTAGAGATGTGGAGCACTTTTTCACGTTCTTTTTTGTCATTGTGTATTACCTCTTTTGAGAAATGTCTTCAGCTCATTTATCCACGTTTTGGGGGAGTTCTTTATTTGGGGCGACTAATCTTTTTAAAGCTCTTTACATCTTCTGGTTAGTAACCCTCTATCAGAAGTGTAGCCAGCCAAGATTCTCCCAAGTCAGTGCCTTGTCTCTTGTCTGTTTCCTTTCCGTGCGGAAGCCTTTAAATTTGTTATTTCTTGATACTGTCATTTCCTGTGCCGTTGGAGTTCTGTTCGGGAAGTCTTTGCTGTGTCTGTGGCTTCAACTGTCAGGTTGTTTTTCAGCAATTTTGTTTTTGGCTTTATACCTAGATCTTTGATCCCTTGTGGTTTGATTTTAGGACAAGGTGAGAAACGAGGGTTTAGTTGTCATCTTTTGCATGAGGACATTTGGTTTGCTCAGCACCGTTTGATAGAGGCTGTCTTTCCTCCCTCATGTTTTTGGATCCCTTGGTCAAAAAAAAAATCAAGTGGTTTTCTATGTTACATGTATTCTGCATATATTGTTACATGGATTTGTACGTGTGTTGTTACATGTAGTTTTAGTGAATGGATTTGTCTTCTGTTCCAGTCTGCAGCTAAAATACACTTTAAAATAATAAATGATCCTATCTCTTGTCTTCTATCACAGTACATGGGCTCCTGAGCTCACTTGTTAAACTCTCTGTCTGTCTGTCTGTTCTCTCTCTCTCTCTCTCTCTCTCTCTCTCTCTCTCTCTCTCTCTCTCTTCCTGGTAATACTGGGGATTGATCTCAAGCCTTTGCACTGAGCTATATCCTCTGCCCTTTTAAAAATGTTTGAGACAGGGTCCTTCTGAACGGCTAAGTTGCCCAGGCTAGGTTCAAACTTGTGATCCTCCTGCCTCAGCCTCCCCAAAGCAAGCGCTCTTCTTTGCCCCTCGCCCTTCTCAGGGTGATGCAGTGGGTGAGGGACTCCGGAGGGACCATCTGAAGGGGCCGAGTTCTGCGGGCGCTGTGTGCAATGTGGTCCAACAGCAGGAATCCAGGGGTAAAGTTGCGCGGAGCGGCACATTGCCGTTCCTTCCCTTGTTACTCAGCGCGTCCTTCTGGCCTCTCTCTGAAGCAGCTCAGGCGGTCCTTCCCCGAGAGTGTTCCACTGCGCTATTCTGCGTGAATATGGGTGCATGAATGAGGGGATGAATGAGTGACTCTTTTGTCTGCGGGAGACTGTGCTGGGCAGAGGACTGTTGCTAGGAGCCCAGGCTTGACGCCCAGCGAGCATTCTCTGTGCTTGCCCACCCTGCAGTCCTCCCTGCATCACCCCCTGGGGTGTCACCCGACACCCTTGCATGCTCCCCTTGGGCCCAGGGCACTAGTGGAAGCAGCCCCAGGGAAGACTCAACCCGGCTCTGCGGTGCCCGGGCCGAGAGCCCCAGCACACTCCTCTTACGCCCCTGCCCTATGGCCTGCCCCTGGGGGTGCCCGCGCCTGCCAGCGCCTCCAGACATGTGGCCACGCCCCTCCTCTGCGCCCTTCTCCAGCCTGCCCGCTTGGGCTTTCTGTTTCTCTGTTACTCTAGTGTCACCCTCGCGGGGACCGAGTGCTCACCCCCCCGCCCCAGCACCTACGCTGTGAGGACGCCTCTGCGAGAGGCAGCCCTGGAATGCCACCTTCCTTGTCCCCTGGGAGCGCTCCGGAAGGCACCTGGGCCCCTCCCGTCCCTCCCCTCTGGGGGGCTGAGCGCCAGGGGTGGGCGGTGGGGAGGGGCCCAGGCAATGCGGGGTGTGGAGCCCCGACTGCGACTGCTCCCTTCGCGTCCTGGAGGGGCGCAGCGGAACCCACTGGGTCCGCATCGCCATGGAGAGAGAGGAGGACCGAGCTGGGGAGGCGCCGCCCTCGGGGTCTCCACCCCTCCTGCGGGCGGGGGAGGAGAAGGGACGGACCGCACGCTTTCCTGTTTCCGCAGCAGGCTGGATGGGGGCGGGAGGCGCAGAACCCCGAATCTAGCCCCCACCCCGCGGCTTGCGGTCCAGGTATCCGAGACCCCTCCCCACCATCAGCTCCGCTCACTCCCGTCTCTGTGACGTCATGCTCCTCGCGGGGCATGATGGGAGAATCCTAATGTTTTCCAACAGATGCTCCAAGAACAGCTTTCAGATTAAAGCAATTGCACGAGCAAAGATTCTCCTTTTTCCCTTTTTTCGGGGGGGTGGGGGGTGGGATGGGGGAAGGGAGCACCCCCAGACATTTCCTAGACATCACCCCCTGCCCCAAGCATGCAATAAACACTGACAAGAAAGTTTTTATTTCCTGGTTCAACTTTTTTTTTCCTGGAATATGAACTGAGGAATGGGAAAAAACACGAATAAATAACAAAGCGAGGCCGCGCCGGGATGCGCCTGGCTGCAGCCTGCGAGGCTATTGTCTGTTCGCCTTGAAGCTGGCCCTGGCCTCCTCCTCCTCCGGTTCTTTCCCTTCCCCGGTCCCTTTTTCTTCTCCTTTTTTAAAAAAAGACCCCCGCAGCCCCTCATCGTGACCTTGGCCGCCGCGGATGCGCTGATCGCGCGGCCCCTCCGCCCGCCGCGCCGGGCCCATGGCCGCGTCGGAGGACGGCAGCGGCTGCCTCGTGTCGCGGGGCCGCTCCCAGAGTGACCCCACCGTCCTCACTGAGTCCTCGGCCGCCTCCTCCGCGGACGCCGGCGAGAACCCAGGTAACGGCGGGCGGGGGAGGCCGGGGTGGGGAGGCCGAGGCAGGCGGCGCTGCCCTGGGCACCGCGGGGCTCCGCGCATGGCCGTACTAGGCAGCGCGGTGGACCTGGCGCTCCTTGGCTGTGCCTTGGTCCCTGGGCGCAGGGACGGACGCTGCGGAGCTCTTTGTCCAGAGCTCAGCCTTTTTTGCGGGTGAGCTCGGTGCTCTGCTGTGCGATTGCTCGCCTGGCCTTGGGGCTCCGCGGCGCCCTCGGAGGGGCTCCCCCTCCGCGGTGCTGAGGTGCTGACCCATGGAGAGAAAAGGCAGAGCAGGGGCTCCCGGCCCAGGGCTGGCCGGGGCTCTGCCCTCCACCCCCGCCAGGCAGCCTGCGCCCCCCAGGCCTCTGTGCTGGGCTTCATCGTTGGGCACCTGACTCTGGCGAGGCCCGCGCACCTGGGCAGCCCCCTCCCTCCCGACAGGTGTGCGGGGCAGAGCTGCCAAGCGGGTGTCCAGGGGTGCGCTAGACGGAGCCCAAACTGTAACTCCTCGGACTTGCCCACTCCTCCACTCCCACACTGGCGATTGCGTGGGTGATAAACCGGTCACAAAGGCATCTATAAGGCTTGATTGATTACTTTCAGGGAGGAAGAAAGGCCTAATGAGGTGGAGGGGGTGGGCTGTGTGCGCCCTGTCACCATGGAGACGCAGGAAGCAAAGTGATCATTAAAACCTTTCTCCAGCAGAAGGCAATTTTCACTTCTCGCAGAGAAGTCTGAGCTTCTGAAATGTATCCTTAAAAAAAAAGAATCGAAACTGGTGGTTTGCTGTCAAGCCACGCGGGACTCGATTCTGTGTCTTAGAGAGGCCCAGGCCTTGATGGATTGTGTTGGGTTACAATTTGCAGTTACCTTCCTGTGAAGACCCGTTCTTCTGCATTCTAATCCAAATGGGGACTTGATGTTTTTCAATGGTGGCACGAAAGGAAAACTCTGCCTGGCTGGTGGTGGCTGGGCTGGTGGGGAGGGATTCCATCACTTCCCTGGAGCACATCCCAGCCATGGGAACTGCACAGAAAGACCCAGCAACTGCAGCTCTGTGGGCACCAGAGCCTTATTTGAAATGTTAAACAATAAACCTGTGCAAGTATTGTGAGATTTCTTTGTTAGGCCAATTGACACTTGTCATTAGGCCACACCGAGGTGCCAGCCAAGGAAATCCCTGGCTTTTCTACATGTGGGAGGGCAAGTTAATTTCCTTGGAGTTTCCAGAGGAGGCTGCCATGAGCAGACCCTTAAGGCTTTAATTAATCCTTTTATTAGTAATCGGGGATTAAGCCTTCTGCATTCCGTGATGGATTGGTTTCCCCTGTGCTGGAGATACACATCCAGGATTGTTCCAATTATGGGAGTTGAATGGCTTCTCCTGAGAGAATCCTTCTCTGCTCCTTTTGTCTTTCTGGCAGTAAAAGGAAGCAAACTTGAATCGGAAATTATGGAGGGCTTAGCTTTTTGGCTGTCTGTGAATTGATGCCTCCGTGGGTGGGAGGAGAGGTCTGGCAGGTGGCTGCCACCGGTCCACCAAGGAGAGGGGTGGAGGGCTTGGACGCCCATAATTAAGTTATGCCATGGGGGGGTGGTGGCATGCAGCTCTTCTCTGGTTCAAATGGCCAAAATGGGACCTGCGAGCTGATGTCCGAGCCGAGAAGTCTGTTATGTTTAAATCTGTAAGTGGCAGATTTAGGCAATTGGGTGGAGTAGGCACTTCTTCTTAAATCCCTTGGTTGGTTGGGGGCTCACTACCTTACAGTGCAGTGCATGTTTATCTTACCCAGCTCTATTTAAACATGGTTTCTTCAAATGGCTTGGAAGAATCCGCTGCCCATCAGTCCTGAGGTGACCACTGTGTGCTCTGTGTGACCAGAGCTGTAGACAGGCTGGTGCTCTGCTCACCCAGCTGAAAGTCTCTGCCCTTGCTTGGGCCCTCCTTTTAGGACCACTCTGTCTGCCCACCTGCTGTGCTAACTCAGGACTCCAGAACCCTGAATCCAGGGCTCCAGCCCTGGAATAACCCAACTGAATATAATGCAGAAGAGTCACCTCCTTCATGTGAATTCTGTTTTTGTGTTTTGGGTACTAGGGATTGAACCCAGGGCCTTTGCACTGAGCTGTATCTCCAGCCCTTTTTATTTTTTATGTTTTGAGACAGGGCTGAATCATCAAGTTGCCAAAGCTGGGCTTAAACTTGTGATCCTGTCCGCCTTGGCTTCCCATAGAGCTGGGATTACAGGCGTGTGCCACCACGTGTGGCTGGATTCTGTTTTTATTAAGCAGCTCCAACTTTGCTCACCCTTCTGGTCATGCCGTTTTTAGGGCATCACTATTCTTTTAGTCAAAACTCAAAGCATCCTTGGAGGGTAAACCGTGTCTGGGATCTCCCTACCTGCTTCGGAGGGTACCCTGTGACCCTGCTCTTTGAGGTTTGCCCACCTGTGCGGAAAAGGGCAAATGAAAGGGTGCTGGGCGTGAGGTGCTTCAGGTGTCGCTCTGCTGGGCATCGGCTCTTGCAGCTTGCCACACTGCACTCTGGATCTATCAGCTTCTCTTTTTCATTAGTCAGAATTCTAAGGTTTTTCCTCCCAGGTATTTGCCAATAGGTATTTGTGTTGGGTCCAGTTTTCAGCCATTACTGGCCACAGTGCACTGATTTCCTGCATTGGTGGCCTTGTTCTCACCTGTGACTTTCCTCCAGCTTGTGGAACGTCTGGGCCTCAAGGAACTCCTGTGTTATTTATCTTGACACTGTTGGACCATTCTGGAAACTGCACTGAGCCACACCTCTTCCCAGATCTGGAACAGACCCTTGCCAACACCTGAATCTGAATCCTGACTTTGCTTTTTTGTCCCTAGCATGACAAGAGGCAAATGGTACCTTGCGTTAGCTTGTGGTTCTTTGCTTGCTGTTTAGCATCACTTTGCACCTGTGCTGTACATTAGATCGCTTGGTCTGTGTGACAGGACTGAACTGTTTCCCCGCGGCCGCTCCTCTGCCTCACTCTTCCATAGTGTCCTGTCTGGGGTGCGCCTCTTGGTAGATCTTTCTCTGTACCCACAAGCAGGTTAGGTTTTCTTCCTGAGTCACCAGTTAAAGCAGGTCAGGGAAGCTCCCCCGAGCCTTCCTCCTGGGGAGTTTCTAACCCTCCCATCCGCTCCCAGGCCAGGCCTCTGCCCTCTTCCTGGGTGGGGCTGACCCTGGCTTTGGCCCTGGCATGGGAAAGTGATCATGATACCCATATAGGTCCCAGGCCACCGCTGGGCCTTCCTGCCTGCCCTGACCCACACCGTTGTCTCCTGGCTCCTGGTTCTCCAGCCTTTTTATCTTCCCAGCCTGTAACCCCTGGGGTTTCCTGCAGTGCCATTCTTCACTCTGTCCTCCTGCACTCTGAGCTCTCCTCCTGTGTATCTCCTCAGTCCCCAGATGACGAGACCATCATCCCCTGGCTGGGGAGTCCCTTGTGACAATTTTTAAAGTGTTTCCATGGGGCCTCCTCTGCCTGGAGACCCGGTGTGAGGACCTGGCTCTGTCTGGGCTTCCCAGCCATTGTGCTGCTGACATGTGTGGCTGGGTCATGCTCTGTCCTGGGCTGTCAGGTGCATTTAAGAGCAGCACTCCAGCCTCAACTCACTAGATGACAGTAACATCCCATCCCCTCATTGTGGCAGGTGGAAACATCTTTAGCCATTACCAAGTGTCTTCAGGGGCAGAGTGTCCCTGAGTGCTGCTGATGTAGGGTCCATTGGGAAGCGCACATCGGAACCCACGAAAGGCTTGTACACACACACACATGCACACACACACACACACTCACGGGAGCCTGTCTCGGAGCTTCTGGACTCAGTGGGGCCGTGGTGGTTTCAGAGGTGCATTTCTAGCAGGTTCCCACGGATGCTGCTGCCCATCAGGTGACCAGACCTGGAGAACCAGAGTCTGAACTTTGACTGTGGGCTCGACGCTCTCTGCTGACAACTTCTATGTGTGACATGTACACCCCTTTGTGAGGGTCCCACCCTGTCCTCCTGGGCTCTTGGGCTGCCGTGCCCTTCCTGTTAGCTCTGACCCCATCCTTCCTCTCTGATTGGCTCCTGGTGCCTCTTACTCCCTGGGATCCTTGTATGTTTCATCCTCTATGATCTCTGCCCATGTTGACCAGGAACACCCAGGACAGGGACCTTGACTGTCACCTATAGCACAGCCCCTGAGCTCAGCACAGCTGAGGCTCTTCACAAGCATCTGTAGAATCAGCAGGTGCAAGCACTGGTCTCTTTGGCCTGACTGGCCTGGGGATGCACCTGGCCAGGTGACTGGACACTCGCTGCAGCCCGTGTGTCTGTCTCCAGGTTGTGTAGCCTGGGGAGCCTGGAGAAGTTGCCAGAACTTTCCGTCCCCTCCAGAGCTGCAGCTGGGTGCACAGGACAGCCCCTCCCTCCTCACGCTGCTTTACCTGCAGGGGTCAGTGGGCCCACTGGCTGCTCCACCTCCTCAGCGGCTCACCTTCGGGGAGCCCCTCCTGGACAGCTTCCTCTCCGGCAGCCCTACCTCCAGCCCACACGTTCCGTCCTGTTGCCTCCTTTCCTCTCCTCACCACCTCCGTGCCGAGCCTGGGTCTTTACTCCCCCTTACTTCCCCTGCCGAGCCCAGCAGGAGCAGGGAGCTTTCCAGCAGGCCGATCTGGGCCAGGCTCTCCTAGTCCTCCACCATCTTCCCAGGGTCCCCCGGGTGCCTCCAGGGTGGCACGGCCACCTTCGCCTGGCTGGTGGCTCTTTTTTTGCGTTCCTGGAGTACACTCATGTTCTGGAGCTCGGAGTTCTGGGGATCTTCCTCTGGCCCCGTACAGTATCTCCATGGCTTAATTAGCATCGAAGCTATGCAGTAATTACCTTGTCAGCTTCTTTAGGATTATTAAAAATAAAAACTGGATGCTTTAAAAATACCGAGTTTAAAAAAAAACTCTGAGTTTTCCCGATC